CCTCCTCCTCCTCCTCCTCCTCCACCACCACCACCACCACCACTACCACCACCACCACCACTACCACTTTCAGAGATATTGCACGAGGTACTTTCTTCGTAAAGAGATGGTTTGACATCTTGCATTACTAAGTCGGTGCCATATTTTAATTTATGATACCTCGCTCTGTATAGAAATTACAAAAAGTAGCATTGTAAGATCATTGTAATAAATGTTACTATAAAGTATAGACGCAATCAGTCTAATGATAGTTCTGCAGCATAATATTTATGTTTGTATCTCAATTGTATGTATATAGAAACTTTAATAAATTCAAATCAAATTCATTTAATTTCACATTGTGAACATAATAATCATAATTTATGAAAGTATAATATATTAATGTATTCTTTTAATAAATAAAGATATTTCTTTTACACTTATATACAGAATATCCAATAAAGACTATCAATGTTAAGTGTAAATTTCTGAGATTATTTTGAGACAAAAATCCTAATACCAAAATATTAAGTAATAATAATATCACTATAATAATTTTTGAATTATAAGCATTTAAAGTTAATGAATCATAAAATTAATGCATTTAGGTGTGATTGACATTTTTTGTTAACATTTATCTATCATATATGAATACACAAACTTTTTAGGTGATATGATTTACTAACTTTAAATACTTATTAAATTCAAAAACTATTATAGCCTTAATATTTTGGTATTAGGATTTTTATCTCAAAATCTCAGAAATCTATCCTTAAATGTTGTTGCAGCCTTTACTGAATACTCTGTATATAATATACATATCAATGTTATTTATTAAAATGTATATACATATTATATATAAAGATAAAATTTAAACATTAATGCTAGCAAAAATATTTGTTAAATTCCTTTTTAATACATTGACTGCTGATTTATTCATATATATTATTCATATATGAATAATTTTATAAAAAAAAATTTCCAGAAAGCTAAACATGTTTTCTTTTACAAATTAGTTAATTTCATCTTTTTGACCATAAATTGACATTATTGAAAAACAGGACTTTTTACAAAAATTTGGTGCTTTCCTATTTAAATGGAATATTCTCAAAAACAAAAAGAATGTCATTCATATACAAATAATGCAAATGATACAGCCGTCAATATATTGAATAATATTACCTTAGTTAAATACTAGTTATTTATTTACCTTTCTTGTTTAAGTGCATATTCTAACATTTTTATTCTCCTCACAAGGTCGTTCTTCAAATTTTCCTGTCCTTTTCTTTCACCCTGAAGAAAAGCTATCCTAGCCTGTGTAATACCAGGAAAAGTTAAACCAATGTGGCATTAACAGCAGTGTTACTTTTGTAACTTCTTCATATATTCTATATGTAAACATCAAAAAGTTGGAATAGCTCCAAAAAAAAAAAGAAACACTTGCTATGCTTTTGACAGAGTTTAGACAAATCGAAACAACATTAATGCCAATAAGTGTATATGCTGAAGCTTCACAATGCTAATTGTTAACACGTTCTATTGCATTGTTAATGCGTTTCATCTGCGTTAGCAATGCAAGTAACGTTTGTTCTGTACTTCCTTATGTGCCTCCTTCCGTCACATGACAGCTAAGGTGACAATAAGGCGGATGATTGTCTTGCGCACGTTCGCGCGCGATCCACGAGCACCGCATCGTCGTTCCGGGGGCCCGTACCTGAAATTCCGCCCTGTCCAACTCCCACTGTGACCTCTCAAGCTCAAAGCGGGCCCACTCGTGTTGAATAAAGTGCAGAATGCCAGGCATCGAATACTGCGGCCGCTGGTCCTTGGCGTCTCCGTTGCTGCCATTGTCGCTGCCGCCCTGATGCTTGTTGTTGGTGAGAGAAACGTTCGCGCCGCCGGCCAGCTGGCCGTTGTGATTCTGAGACGCGGGGCTGCAGCTATCCTCCATTGTGGCACCACAAAACTGGCTCGGCACCTTCATTGAAATGAATGACACGGCGGCCATTACAGCAACATCCCTTCCTTCGCGGAGTACCCCGAGAGTGCTCTCTGGTCGGACAATGTATTTCGATCGGCCCGTCGAGTAAGGAGACAATTATTACGCATGCGGACGCAGTTATATACAGTGACCGTCGTACCCGAGACTCCTGTGCGAGCGACGAGGAAAGTCCATACAGACCCGTTGTACGCTGTTTTGCGGGTGCACAAGTCCGCACGACGCTCGCTTCCGGAAAAGCGGAACTCGGAAGAAACCGCGATCAGCACGGGAAACCGTTTCCTTTCTACTACTACGTCAGGCTCCCTGCCAACGGATCAACGGGTAAAAGTTACCGCGCGGCATGCCTCGCGATATCTACCAGCCAGCTCCAAGCACCTAAGAGTGGCTCAGAGCACCTTGCCAGTTGCCGTAGTTGCCGACCGATGCGTGCATTACCGCTCGAAATTCACCCTTTTTATCGGTACTGATGGATTCGTTTATTACCACTGTCACCGTCGCGCTGCGGATCTTTTACCTAAGTGGATCACACAAATTTGTTTCCCCAATCAATGGCTGCGTTCAGCAGACTAAACAGTTTTGCAAACGTTTTGTGATTCTTCGCTGAGATAGGACTATTACTTTAAATCTAAAAGTATAATCCAATCAACACGACGAATCATAAAACTGTTGCAAAACTATTGAGTCTGCTGAACGCAGCCAGTGGCCTAGTTTCCACCGAGGATTTAAACCGGATTAGAATGTATGAACCAACCAATTACATCCAATCGAGTATTCTCCTGTTAAGGCCCGTCTACAATACACGGAGTAAGAAGTAAGAGTAAGAAATTGACCAATCACAGTCGAATGTGAGAAGAATAATCGACTGTGATTGGTCA